ATTGGCTCGATGAAATAAACCCAATGATACCAATGAAAGTCCCATTAGAGGACAAATAACTCAGATCAAGAACTTGAATCATAATGAAAAACTTAAGAATATTATTTGGAGGATTAAATGATTTCTAAATTTGGTCTGCTTATAATGAAATTTATTCTCTCAATGAGCTGAATCCAATGAGTCAAATATCACTTAATTATGACAATATTAACGTACTTAAATGCCGAATAATTTTTATAATCAAGTGAATCATTATGATCCATCCGACAATGTTTCAGATTTTCTTCATATTTATAACATATGTCACTCTAAAATATCTATAATAATTAGTATATACTCTCAATATGAAGAGGACCGTTGATTAGAGATTCAAGAGAGTTCAGTGAATCTCAAAGCTTTACTCTTAAGTACCAGTACTGCCAAAACATTGCCTGATTGTCACAGTCAGACCTTCATTTGCCTTTTGAACAATCATTACCTGATCTTCATTATCAGACCTTCACCACGTAACTATTATTATCGGACAACCACCATCTAGTTGTTGGACCATTGCTTGATCATCGTTGGATCAATTCCTAATCTCCATTTTCAAAACTTTGCCTCTTGACCACTATCGTCGAACCTTCATCTACAGACCACTGCCATCATTTCACCTCCCTACTATCGTTCTTAGACAATTGTCAGACTTTCTCTGTCGTCGACCACCTTTGAACCATCGCCCAAATGACTTCATTGCACCGTTGCGGCTCAACTGTCATCAAACCTTCACCATCCAATTGCCAATTCCGGATCCTTGCTTGACCACTGTCGTCAAACCTTCTTAACTACAACAGATTGAATGTCTTTTACCCTATATCGACTCTGCAATATTCTTTACTTACTCTTCATAATTTTGTAATCTTATTGTCATCAACTTAAGGGATGGGCAAAGGCTTTTATTCAACACTCACCTAATCGGATCATTTCAGTCATTATGGTTTTTCCAATTTCTGTTTTTCCATGTAAAAACACTAGTTTTGTTTGTGCCCTTTTACTTACTCTTCATAATTTTGTAATCTTATTGTCATCAACTTAAGGGATGGGCAAAGGCTTTTATTCAACACTCACCTAATCAGATCATTTCAGTCATTATGGTTTTTCCAATTTCTGTTTTTCCATGTAAAAACACTAGTTTTGTTTGTGCCCTTTTTATTTATTTATGTACTTGAACTTCATACAAAATTAGATTGTAAAACTCCTTGTCATATATATATATATATATATATATATATATATATATATATATATATGTGAGCGGATAAAAACTATTAATAGATTTTTTAATATTTCCTCTATGAATAATATTCAAAGTATATTAAAATTAGATAAGTTAATTAAATTTAAATTTTAAATATATATAATATAAAATATAGATCTATATATATATATATATAGAAACAAATTTGTTTTTTTTTTTTTGAATAAGAAACAGACTGTTAGAGACAGTAACAAATTTTCACTGGTCACGGATTTTCAGATTTCAATTTCCAGGCTTAAGCTTCCAACGGCTATATCCGCTACTGAAAATAAATTACAAAAGTGCGAAGTCAGTTCAGTAACTTACACTGAATTATTATTAATTTTTTGACCATTTAAGGCCAAACTCACACATACACAAACATACACATATGGACTCGAACTCTTAGTTGGAAGCTAAACTTTCAACAATAGGCAGGAGAGTTGTGTATTATGTTGGGCAGTTTTTTTACTACTTTGCAATTGTCTAATCAGTGTAATTGTTTAATTAAGTATGCATTAAAATAGTTTAAATTAGGCATAAATGGTATGTTTAATCAAGCGATTAGTTATGCATATTTAAATCACCCATTTTTACGGTGATTAACCATGCCTAATAAATCAACCCATTACAAGACAATTATATGTCTCTGATGACGTAAGAGCTACGTTCGGGATCGTCAAATCACATGTCGCCACGTGCTCTTATTCTTTACGCGTCGGCCCGACGACTTGACCCGGACCGGTACCGAGAATGCTATGTTCGCGTATGCGAGTATTACTCGGATATCTTGCTCGATATTGCTCGAATATATTGGCTATAGTATTTACTGTGACAATAAAGAAGAAATACCGCTATGTGAAGAGCATAACCGGTAATACGAGTTGTGCTTGAGTTTTTCTAGAAAACTCGGTACAACTAGGTATTGGCTTCGGTAATTTGCTCGGTATTGGTTTATTTGGCCGAGCAAAATATCGACAATATAGCAATACTTGATGCAAAATCGAAGAAATACTCGAGCCATTCTCGGGGTAAGTTCAAGAGGTCGGGTTGTGGGGGCGTGCCAGTAAATAGTGATGAACACGTGGCGCGATATAACTGTTGAGTGCCAGAGCATGAGAGCTAGTCTATGAATCAGGATCCAAATAAAAAGTTCCATTACAAAGAGTGTTGCGATTAAGATCAAACATAACCCGAAATTTTTTTTTTAAAAGGACGGCGATGCCCAAGCTGTCTCTCTTCTCTTGCGACCCGTTGGTATTATCGTATACTCGCCATCCAGCTCGGTGCATTTATTGATATTCACCTTCGTCGACTCCAGCTAAAATGTTATAATGAATTATTCTGATTCGAAATATTTATATGGTTATTGATACTCTAGAATAATGTGAAAAATTTAGACATAACAAAATAAAATAAAAACTACCATGTATTGTGTAATGTCGAAATGCAAAAACACCATCTATTATTGTATGGTTTTTTTTCTTGATTTTTTTTTTTTTTCATCATTTTCTAAAATGAAGTTAAGATAAATTAAAAGATAGGGTTGTTACAGCACGCAAGTACAATCTCAAATTCACAGCTATCTTGTGGGGTCTTTTTCAGCAAGGTATCAATTCATGGCTCGAAGTTTGAGGAGTGATGCATGCAAATTGATAGTCACTGACGCGACTGAATTTTAATTCTGTATATGGAGTTGACCAATCCCAACTATATTTTTTGACCAAGATCTTTCAGCTCAAATTCGTGATTCAGCTCTGCTCGAACATGTAAATAGATGCATAGATGTGTTGAGAGGTCTATGGCAATGAGATGTAAACCTGGGATGTAGAAGTCAAAGAAATTAAGATTTTCTTAATTGTAGTAATTTCTTATTCCTTATTATCTAAATTACATAAGTATCAATTAGTTCCACATAAACTTCGTATGAAATGTATTTTTCGCGTCTTCAACACATCACATGCTATATTCTATTTTTGAAGTCAATGATGTTATTCATTTTGCTCCATGCAATCGACATGATGAAAGAGTATGAGGACAATGAGCAGTGGTTCATCAAGTCTATGATGTCGATGAAGAAATTTGATGCAACTTCATGATCAATTTGTCAGAATATTGTGTCAGTCCGTATATCAATGATATATTATTCGTGTGTAGCTTGTGGACTGAATTTTTTCAACAAACGATAGCTTAATTGCTTTAAATTATATACTAATGATCCAAATTTTTAGGTTTACGAGGACAAGTTCAACTTTAAACATCCAGATTTAAATATAGTCTAAAAAATTGATAAGATAACATATATTGTTGGTCTATTTTTAGATATATTAAATAAATTTCAATAATATAAATAATATATATATTTTATATTATATATATATATATATATATATATAAATATATGATAATATAATTATATATATATTATTATATATAATATATATAGCACGAAGTTGAGTTACATAATTTTTATAAGTCAAATACATAAATAAATAAAAGGGCACAAAACAAACTAGTGTTTTAACATGGAAAAAAAGAAATTGGAAAAAACATAAGGACTGCAAATGATCCTGACTTAGGTGACGTGTTGATAAAGCCTTTGCCGCATCCCTTAAGTTGATGTGACATAAGATTATACAAAATATGAAAGAGTAAGTAAAGAATGACAGAGTCGAATATAGGGTAAAAAGGCTATTCAGATTCTGTTGTAGTTAGAGTTGACGACAGGGTTGGCAAGATCCGGAATTGCAATTGGACAATGGCATGATGGAGTTTGATCGACAGTTGAGCCGCAACGGTGATTGAAGCTTTTGGGCGATGGTTTCAAGGTTGCGTTCGACGACAGAGAAAGTCTGACAATGTCTTAAGCAACCGATAGTACGGGAATGGGTGGATCAGGATGGTCAGTGGTCTGTAAATGAAGGTCTCGACGATAGTGTCAAGAGGCAAAGTTTTGAAATGGAATTAGGAATGATCCAACTGATGATCAAGGCATTGTCAGCCAACTAAGATGGCTGTTGTCCGATAATAATAGTTACGTGGGAAGTCTGATAATGGAAGATCAGGTAATGATTGTTCAATAAGGCAAATTGAAGGTCTGACTGTGACAATCAG